GGCTGTTGGGTTAAATAGTGTTTAGAAACTTTCTGAATCAAAAGAAACTCCTGTAAACCCAAGTGTGTGTTTGTGGCACATTCACTCAGCTTTTTACAGACAACATCAAACAATACTGTTGTATTGGATTTAACTCGTAGCGCATTAAATCCTTACTGAGGTCGATCATGTTACTGTATGCTACTATACTATGAACTACACATCTTTTACAGTCAATTTGAGAAATACTGTACAGACAATGAAAATCCATGAGTCATTTTTTGCCTGCAAAACTAAAAGAAATTATTAAGAATTTTTGAAATTAAACTTTTAGAAGTTTAAATAGTATCATTTAAATGATGTGTCCCAGCCTAAAGAAATTTTTACTTCTTCAGAAACAAGCAAGGGCTAAATGCTAACACCTCGGCTCTGTGAAAAAGGGGTGATTTGACTTTTTCTTGTCAAGGGCAGGTTCCCAGGATCGCATATGAAAAGGCACCTTTTCACCAGAAGATGGCGCCAAGTTATTGTGTCGCTGTTAAATCAGCTCAGGAGTGCCCTCCAGTGTGAATGTGACTTTGGCAAGTCCTTACATTATCCCAATTATTTAAGCCAACACAGATTAATAAGAAAACAAAGTGACATCAATGGAAGCAGGGTTCCTCTGGCACAAACAGCAGTGCTGATGTGAATTCATGAAACATGGCTCACAGGATATGACAGTAAAGGCTCTAGGCTGCAGTGATGGAGATGGCGTATGAGGCGCTCCATGTCACCACGTTAGTTTAAGATGATGCTGAAGTCTGCCAAGTAATTCGTTGATTCAGCTCTCTTGCTTGTATGGCCTGTTTTGTTCATATTTAATCTGCTGTAACCTTGTTGCTGCCTTTTAACCAGTGCTTCTTCTCTTGTCTCTCTACGCTACATTCTTCTTCTGTGGATTGACTTCTGTCAGATTAGATAAAGATGAGTCTGTGTGATCAATCTTTTTACCCACTCTCTTGGACATTGTTCTCCCCACATCTGATTTCTTCTCTCTGATTTATCCTGTCACTCCGTGCCTCGGGTGATTCCGTGTCATTGTTGTTGTCTACCGTCATATTTTCTGTTGTCAGTCCAGGACCCCGATGATAATGACACAACAAAAAGCTGACTGTACAGGACACTTGTAGCCCTCACTATCACTGCCTATATGTTGTTCTGCAGTTCCTTTTTCTGTATGATCTATCCATCACACTTTGAAAAACATGTCTGCCAGCTCTGGGCTTTTCCAACTCTCAGCACAAATGATCCTACCAGAATTGATTCTTCAATAGAGGTCATATTGAGCTGGTATTAAGGAGAGACGACATGTATTGTCTGTATAGTCGAATAAACAAAAGACAGCCTGTAGTCCAAGCCCATTTTGGTTGACCTCCAGAGGTAAATAAATGGATAGAAAACACAATTAGCATCAGTTTGAGGAGAATGATGACAAATCGTATTTGAGGATCTCAAACTGGTCAATGACAACCTCCTGTTGTAGCTCCATACATCAGCTGATACAGCCCTTCCTCCCACCAGTAAGAGATGACACTCAACTGTTGAAGTGCTTTAAACGGCCAGTGCTGCCAGATGATTGTGTTTATGGATAACCTCATTGATTGTTCTCCATTCAATTACTCCCTCAGAGGTGAGAGATAACTCAGTTAAGAGGCTCCGGCCTTGTAAGAGGTCACTCTGAATTAGGATGTGAGCTTTCTATGCCAAAGTGCTATCAGGCAGATTTGACTTGTAAGCATTTTGACTGCTCTGCGTTTGATTCTTCTAGTGATAGTTTAAGAGAACACTGGGAGCCAAAAAGTCATGCTAATAGCGTTAGGCGGTGGCCCTCCCTAAAAAGAAAGTTAGCAACAGAAAGAAATGGAAAGGAGTGGGAACTGTGGGCCGTCTGAGCTGACGTTTATCTAACGTCCTTGAGATGAGCTGTAGAGATAAAAACAAGAGTCCTTCATTGCAGACCGTCAGCCACAGAGAAAAAACAATGTCTGAATTGTGTCTGCGTGTCCTTGAAGATGCTAAAAATCACAAAAAAATCTTCTCTGCACTGAGAAGCTTTCAGTTATCTGCTGAATGTGTGCCAGTGTGAGGGAAGCTGACAAGAAGCCAGGCAGTGTTTGCAATATAAGAAAGTGTACTTTCATAGCAGCAATTGAAATATCCTATTTTGTAATCTATAGTTTCCACCCTGGACTCCCTCACCGCAACTTCACAGCACCCCTAATTGCAGCTTAACTGTCCCCCATCTTTCAAACCTCCTTTTACTTTGTAATCTGATCGTAGTATCACCTTACCAAAGGTGTAGATGGCATTACACACCTATTTTTCAAGTATGGGTGGTCTTTTCTTCCAGAAGTGCAGCAAACAGACCTTTATGTGTGAAATACATTCAGTGGCTCTTTAAGGAAGCTTTTATCCTGTGTAACCAAAGCCCAGCGGACAAAGTTGAAACAAACAGTGGGTGTCTGTTCAGTCTCAGACTGCACCATATACAGCATGTGTCTGAAAACACTTGCCTTTGCCCTTTTCATGAAGCCCTGGCTCATGACTTCATTTGTGCAGCAAGAAGAGAAGGATGAACCCAGACAGTTTGCGATGAACCTTTTCCACATATCAGTGGAGGTGACAGATCTGTTAGCTGCACATTTTTCACATTCATTCCCGTTCATTGCTGAGCTGAATATTTCGCACCTAATCCATCATGCGCATTAAAACCGAGTAAAGTCCTTCATCGCTGCCGATCTTCCATGAGAAGAAAAAGACAAAGATAAGCGAGAAATACCTATAACCCTATAAAAACATGACAAAACAAAGGACTGAGACTGTGTGATGTTTATAATATCAGCAGAACTTGCAGTTGTTCCTTTAGTATTTTTTAAGATATAAAAGGTAACATAAGTATGGTTGAGCAGGGTTACCAGATTCCTACAAACAACAAGTAAGAAATCCAAGGTGGGGTGGTCTCAGATTTTGACATTTAGTAGTTAAATACGTGCAAACTGTGGGTAAGGGTCTGGCATTGATCATGTCTTGTATTTGCATTTCCAGACTTAAAGCTAAAAATGTTTTTTGTGTTTTTGTAGTCTTATGTTATAGTCCTTGCACACTTGCATATTCCCTTTTACTGTTTCCCGATTACTGTTAAAGCTATTATTTCAACTGCTAATCTGTCTGATCATCATCTGTGGGTTTGCATTTAAAGATCAGCACATCTTCTTTTTTAGCCGCATGTTTCTTACATTTACTTTTATAAACATGGGACAGATGGGACAAGGGATAGAAAATGGTCTGCAGCACATCACCATGGCTTTTGAGGGCTGTGAAGAAGTATTTGCCTCCTTCATGATTTCTTTGATTTTGCCAATAAACAAATTTTAATACTACACAAAGATAACCAGAGTAAATACTAAATACAGTTTTTAAATAATAATTTAAATTGTTAAGATAAAATAAACGATCCCTTGTGTGAAAGAGTAATTGCCCTCCAAACTTAACAACTAGTTGTGCTATCCTTGGCAGTAACAACTGCCATCAATAACTGGCAGTGAGTCTTTCACATCGCTGTAGAGGAATTTTGGCCTACTCGTCTTTGCAGAAATGTAAATTCAGCCAGACTGGAGGGTTTTCCAGCATACGCAGCCTGTCTAACGTCGTACCAAAGGATCTTAATCAAAGTAAAGACTTTGACTAAATCACTCCAGAACTTTCATTCTGTTTTTTGAATCATTCAGACTTGCTGATGGACTTTCAAGTATGTTTCAGGTCATTGTCCTGTTGCGTATTCTGAGTGATCTTAAGCTTCAGGGCACAAACTAATGGCCAGAGATTATCCTTTCGGATATTCTGGAGGAGAGTAGAATTCATGGCTCTATCAATTACATCACGCATTCCAAAAGAATTTAGTAAATTACAGTGAATTTGTGATTTAACAAGGCATTACTTCTTCACTTTACTTCTTCATTTACTCTGTTTTTTTTTCTCTCCTTCTGCTTTTTTCAGCTGCTCCTAATAAAGGAGTGGCCACTACAGATCACTGCCTCCATCTCCCCTATTCCTAGCATCCTGTCACACCAACCACCAACCCTCTGCATGTCCTTCTTAACTACATTCATGAATGTCCTCTGTGGGCTTCCTCTTTTCCTCCTGCCTGGCACCGTGGTCTACAATATCCTTTGTCTAATATAGCCACTATCCTTCCTCTGCCCATGTCCTCACACACCTCTGTTCCTCTAATGTATTCATTTCTAATCTTGTCCATCCTGGTCACTCCTAGTGAAAATGTTAACACATTCAGCTGCCTCTTGTCTTTTTGTCAGTGCCACTGTCTCCACACCATACATTGTTGCAGGTCTCTCCACCATTTTGAAAGCTTTTCCTGTCACTAATCAACCCTTGCATTCATCTCCACCCACTCCCTGCACTCACTTCTTCACTTCGCTTGTGCATTATATAGCTGACCCTAGATATTTGACCTCATCCACCTTCACTACATTTACTCCTCACATCTTCATCTTTCCATTTATCTCCCTCTCATTCACACACACGTATTCTGTCTTCCCTCTACTGACTCTCATTCTCCTTCTCTCCCCTGCATACCTGTCCTGGTACTCATACATCGGCTCCTGATTCTCACTTCTGATCTTCCTGTTTGATTTGGCCGAGATCTGACATCAGATCCTGACTGGGGGAAAATAAAAGACTACACTATACAGCACTTAAAATCAGAGCCAGTGATCATCCAGCTAATTTATGTAGACAGAAAAAGGCAATGTGTCCCTATACTTGGGCAGACGTGTAAATTAAAATGGTAATGATGCTGTCAGGCTTTAAAGGCAGATAAACCAGAACCCTGGCATTTAACTGTCATCTTTTTGATTTTAACAGAAAAATCAAGAAGGAAAATTGCCTTATAATGCATCACATACTCTCTCTCTCCTACACACACACACACACACACACACACACACACATGCCCAGAAACCCCTCCTTCCCGCTTCAGCCTTCCTCTGCTCCAACCAAGCTCCCTCCGTCTTTGGTTCAGCCTGCTGGAGCTACTTTTACATTTAAAACAGTAAGAGCTAAACTCACCCTCAGCTTTTATGTGAATGGAGATGATTATTAACCACTGTGGTGTAATTTTGTGGTGAAGACTGTATTTCTCTGCATACAGGGAGTACCACATCTTGCTGGTTGATGATTCAAATGCTGATCCAGCAAAAGTCTGCCAAAAAAGGTGAGGTGGCTACAATAAATGATGAGTAACTGTGAAAATTGTTTTGAGGGAATTATTACTAAAAGATTGGAATGAATCATTAGGGCACTAGAAAGACCACGAGACTTGACTTTCTCCTGCTTTTTCTTACAATTTTGTTGTGTTTTGATTAAGAAGCTATAATGTTAGATTAGCCTGTTTAGCAAGTTGCTCCGCTTTGCTAGCAAGTTCGGTTACCTGGTTGCAGATTTAGTTAGCCGACTATTTTGTAGGTTATTACACTACCGTAATTTCACAAATGTTGTTTGTAATAATTCAAATATTTAAAAAGTGTGTACAATATATTTGGTG